TCATTTTAAAAAAAGCTTCATGCTCTTACTGGGTTGTTTTTAGTCTTTTGAATATTTCATTTCAGCCAAAGCAACCAAAGGAATAATTAGTGCCTTGTTCAATACTGGCACATCAAACATTTTTATTCACAACTTTTAATGCATTAGACCACCGGTTGTGAAAGATTATATGTGTACATTTTTACTGCAAATCGCCTTGAATGCAAGCTTGTTTCATAGCAACGGCAGCACAGAAGAGAAAATAACCGAGGACAGGAGCCCATGTCCCTTGAGTGAAAAATTTTTGGATTTGCAGGTTTGTGGAGGTGTTGGACAATATAACACAGCTGGAAAATATCACTGTTGTTGCAAATGAGGTTGGTATGCCCAGCTGGTTTCTACAGTGACGTGTTTGGACACACGCTAATAGGCTAAGTAATGAAAGGTAAAATTATGGGCTAACCAAGGCCAAGTGTTGTTTCCCAGCGCTACTGCTGCCAAAGTTTAAAAGTGTAGTTTTCATTCATGGTTGCCCCTGGTGTGGCGTATCCAGGTGTTTGGCTCTGCAGCAAGATGTGTGGTTTAATCAGGACTTAATTATGCAGGGTCGATGTTCAGCGCACAGATCCATGAGGACCGGCCGTCCACAGGGAAGAGGGAAGACAAATGCGAAGCAGTTACAGTCAATTAACCAACACTAATTGGCAGTCCCACCTAAAGACTCTGCTATTGTAGAGCTGACACTTTTTACTGCCTCACCTGCAGCTAAACTTTGACTCCAACCTCATGTGGAGCTACTGATTTTATCACATCACACCTCAGTTAAACAGTTTGTTCACTTGCCTCAGCAAAGCTTAATTTCCTTGTGTGTAACTGGTCCGTAACTGGTGCAGAATATGCTCTTAACACAAAGAACATATAGAACACAGACATAGACCCACATCACTTGTAGTTTCTCTCCAAATAAGCCAAAGGTTTAGCCCATTATTTAAACCACTGGTTCCGTACAACCACTGGTTCGCCAAAGCTTCATGGGGGGGTGGCAAGGCCTTCTTAATTTTAAGGGCTATAAGAAAACTTTAAAACATGTACACAATAGTAGGCCTATATCATCATATTTTGTGAAGAAAACTAAATTAAATCAATACTTTAAGAATTTATATTATCTAAGATCTGAACATAAGCTACATACACAGAGCCTTCAGTCTCTACTAAACAGCTTCACTCTGCAGTAGAAAAGTACACAGTTAAAACAACCAGGGCTAATAGAAAAATGGTATAGCATCAGGGAGAAAACACTGAATTAATAAAAAAAAAAAAAACATTAAGTATGTATGATTGTTAAGAATAAATAAAAATCTAAAATGGCTTAACTATCAAGAAAATTCACCTCTGATAATAAGTCATATTCATAGGAAATTCATACAAATGGTTCATTTTACAAAACTCCATTAAACATTTCACTTACAGGGGTCATCAATTTAGGCAATGATAAAAAAAAAAAAGGTCCCTGAAGGAAAAGGGTTGGAAGGAACTGATCTAAACCACTGTGTTTGATAAAAAATTAAAAAAAAAAAAAACTAAGGTAAAACTATATGTTGTTGGTGATAATCCCCATAAAGAGAGTCAATTTGTAAACCGTGAGGATGATTTCAACAAACATTTGGAGGTGAAAACAAAGGTGCACAGTACGATTATTACCCATCATATGTTTGGCTGACACAGGAGTTTGTTCTCGACCTTTCCACCGTGGGGCATCCCAGGGCAAATCAGTCCAGGAATAAGCAAAGAATCCAATGGGGAAAGGGCAAAAAGGCTATCAGAGATCAGAATATGTAAAAGCTAAAACTAAAAGTATGCTGAAAAGAGTTATACAAAGAACAAAGAACTGGCAAAGAGAAAGGAACAGACTATATAGAGAGTCTAAATGCACAAGGGAATGCAGTGTCTGAAATGAGAGGAGAGGTGAGTATACAAAAAATAAAACCAATCAAGGAATCAATGAATAAATAATATGAAACAAATAACATAACGTAGGGAGAGGGATGAGACATGTTACTCTAAACATAACCAAATTCACAGCAAAAAAAATCTCTAAAAATGCCTTGTTTTTGGGAAATGAAAATAATCTTATCAAGCATGTTTTGCATTGAAAAGGTAATCTTGTTTGAAGAAAATCTATTTAACTTTTTCTGAATAAGATATTACAGCTAATATTGAGCTAGATCTAACCATTAACAAGTTATGACAATGGTTTGTATGATATACCAGTGGAGGAACAAGAACAATTTTCCTGATTTTAAGACCACTTTTAAGAACCACAATTTAAATGAAAGTAGTCTTGTGCCAGTGTTGTAAATGAAGCAGCTGTTTTTAAGTTATTGTACTAATTGCTAATTATTGATCTTAGATGATGGTAGAAATTCTTAAATTCAACTCAATAAAGTAACCAAAATATTTATTTTAAGGAAGTCTATCTTGAGTTTTCATTGCTTGTAATAAGCACAACTTTCTTACATTTTTTTGGCATTCTTTCCAGTTAGTTTTAAGGCCCATTACCGTCTTTCAGTGGCTAGATTTGTATGCCAGTTATGCTAAATAATTCTAGCTCAATACCAGAACATTTTAGGTCATTTTTGTAGAAGGGCTGTTTAAACCTAAAGGGTGCTTAAACCTGACCAAACCTTAACCGTAGTGTTGTCACATCATACAAGGGATTTATTTGTTATTTAACAGTGATTTGTAAGTTTTGGAAGCTGCTAGTAGGGGCATGAGGTCAGGAAATTCTTCTATGTGTCACTTGTGGCATGGACAAACATCATAGTTTCGTGTCTTTTAAGACTTGTTTCGTCCTCGCTGTTCTTTCTTCTTCCTCTCATAAAGCACCTAAAGATTGAAAGTAAAGAAAATATCAGTCACTGGTGATCCTCTACAAGTGTACATCACCACTCACTGCACAACAAGGTTTTCTGAAGGTTCAAGAGAAGCAGGAAAACCCTTAACCCTTGGTGGTGTTCGGGTCTGTGGGACCCGTTTTAATTTTATTAAAAGAAAAATGATACAATTAATTAATTTTTCAAACTGAGACTCACTGACTTTGGCTCATTTTCTGTGAAGAACATATATCAGAATACATATTTAATGACCACACACCATACATCCCCCTACACATTTCTATTACATATAAGATGCCGGGTCCACTGGACCCGGGCTAATAGAAGTGTGGAAATTGATGTTCTGTGTACCACACGCACCCACCCACCCACCCACACACCCACCCACACACCCACCCACACACACACACACACACACACACACACACACACAGCAGGCCTAGAAAGGAGGAGGACAGAGTGTAGGTACACAGAACATCAAAGGGTCAAATGCGAGAAAATGAGAGCAGACAGTGTTGACAAATGTGCAATGTGACCTAACAAAGGTAAAGGGCAAATATTAACCATATATATTGTTTATACTGCTTGTAATTGGGATAAGGTAAACATCTGTTCAGTATTTTAACATAAAAGTGTTTGATTGTGAGGCATTAAAAGCCACAAAATGCAACGGGTCCATCAGACCCACAAATGCTGTCTGAGTAACAACAATATGAACATTACACAAGGGTTAAAATAAAGCAGCCAATAAATAAATAACATTATATGTAAATTAGATAATCTGCCTTGCCAATAAGGCTTTTAGTCTAGAACTGAAAAGTCATTAATATTGTGTTTAAAGCAGTTAAAGAGGAACATTTTTGACTCACAAAACACTTGGTAAAGTCAGGGTATGAAAGACAAAAAGTATGAGTGAGAAAAATATATATGAAAAACAATCTATGAATGACACATCAAAACCCTCAGACATGTCAGACAATTCTTTTTTTTTTAATCTTCCTGACAATGAAGTGGCAATTACTTTTCATATTCCCTCACAGGTCTGCACAAATTCTTAACGTGGCGTTACCTGTCAATCTGTATTCACATAGCTGAAAACAACAGACAGGCCACAGTATCAACTCTGACAGAAGATGATTTCATACGAACGGTGCTTTCACCTACTGCGAGTCACCTCCAAAAGCCGTAGCTCAGAAATGACACGCATCACTGCAGCTCTTTGGAGATGAGCCACGCTGCCTGAAGGCACACTGAGACAGAATGTGAATGTGCTCTGTTATATCTCTATATACACTGTCTAACACACTATTATACCTATCATTATAATGCCATTGCAGTAAATGGAAGCACATAATAAACATGTATAGAGTGTCAGTAAGGGATCATTTCATAGTGTTAGTTGCCAGAATATTTCAGCTACATGGATCCTTTTTATTTACTGTTTAACAGCTTCTAGGTTCCTCAATAAGGAGTTTAAAGAAAATAATGACAAATACAGATGCCATACTGTCAGACAGACTGGACATCTTCTTTAAGCCCCCCTCCAGTCAAACATCAGTGTTTCCTCCTGCCCCTATGTGCTGTTTGAATGCTGTATGTGCAGAGTTTGATACTAAAAAGATATTGTTTCATTTAAGATTATTTTAGAGTAGGTTTAAGACATTCCTCTTTGATAAAGCTTATAGTTAGGGCTGGATCAGGTGAGTCCTGAACCATCCCTTAGTTATGCTGCTATAGGCCTAGACTACAGGGGGATTTCCCATGGTACACTGAGCTCCTCTCTTCCTCTCTCTTTCTGCACTCATTCATGTCCCATTAATGCATGTTACTAACTTCACTTCTTCCCCGGAGTTCTTGTGCTTTCTCGTCTCGCAGGTTCTCATGGATCCTGGTGGAGCCTCCTGCCATGGTCCTGCTTGACTGCCATTGCTAATATCACTGATATTATTATTGTTATTATTATTATTACTATTATTATTACTACAGTTACTATTATTACTATAATCACTGCACATTGTCCCCCATCGTTGTTGTCATCGTCGTCATCATCTTCTTCATGTTCATCATCATCAGTCACTACTATACTATAGTGCAGTTGTTGCTACTGTTGTTGCAGTGCATCTCTGTCTCTCTCTCTCTCTCTCTCTCTCTCTCTCTCTCACCCCAACTGGTCGAGGCAGACGACCACCCACCTTGAGCCGAAGTGTCTGTCCAAGTTTTTCCTTGCTGTCGTCACCAAGTGCTTGCTCATGGTGGTACTGTTGGGTCTCTGTAAATAATGTTATAAGGAGTTCGGTCTAGACCTGCTCTATTTGAAAAGTGTCCTGACATAACTTCTGTTATGAATTGGCGCTATACAAATAAAATTGAAATTAATTGAATTGAATTGTCACAATCATCTGCTGAAAGTGGAAAGTTTCTCTGTGCTCATTGAAAACCTGATTTTATGTGGCGGGCCTACCAGCATGATTTGTGACATCACAAATAATTAGGAAGTCAGTCCTGGTCCAGTATGCAACTTGTACTGTGTGATGTAGAAACCTGAAGCCATCAGTGCACATCCACTGAGAATGGACTTTACAGTGAAGTAGGAGACATCTTGTGTCCAGCAGGAAAACCTAAAAAATGAACAACATTTGCAATAGAAATCTTAATAAGGAGGAAGAAGATAGATACCTTTTGGGGAAATTAATAATATTGAAATTATAATTTTTTGTTGGGGAACAAACATATCAGAAACAAATTATTGTTCCAAGCAGACATATATTTGTATATAATACATGTCTGGAAGGGATCTTTAAAGAAGAGTTTAAGGTGATAAGGAAGCATATTTGTTCAAGACTCGTGTCATTAAAGGTCTAAATAAGATAAAAAGTCAGGGTCTTGATTTAGAGAAATTTACACACACAAGGAGAAGATTTAGGTAGGTGTGTGTCTTACCAATGTGATGGATTGAATTCAAGGTCATATGACACAAAACGACTTTGCTTGGATAGTTTAACAGAAAACAATATCCTGAGCATTGGTGTAAGAAAATGTTAAACCAGTTAAAAAGAGGGGAGCATGGATAGCTCACCTGGCAGAGCTGGAGTACTTACTGCAGCAGCCGTGGGTTTGACTTCAACCTGTTGCCCTTTTGTTGCATGTCATGCGTATTTACCTTCCACTGTGTGGTGCTCTTCTGGTGTGGAGTTCAAACAAACAACAAACCAGTCTGAAAATCAGTCTGAATCGCCTTTTTTTCACTTCAATCAGACATTGTGTTCATGTTACTGTTTTGTAATTTCTTGTCAGGAGGGGGTGTGCAAATGCAAATGAGGTTTCCATCACACTGATGTCATTGTCAGTCAGGAGCAGTTTAATATTTTTCACAATGATCAAAGAAATATGCTGATTCGTGGGTTGTTATTTCTGTAACTCAACTTATAAGTCACCTGTACACGGAGCTCTGATTTTTCAAAAACTTAAAAACTGAATGACACTCACTTACCACTTTAGACACAAATGATTTAAGACCCATAATTAACACTGTCAGAGAAGATCTGCTGACTAACTGCAGATGAATGACTTGCTTGTAGAAGACTGCAGAGCCGTCAGCACTGACAGTGAATCCCATTTCCAATCAACTGAGCAATCTGTCGGGTCAAAGACGCTAATCAGTTGTGCTGCTTAAAGCAATATCGCCACAGGGTGCATTGCTTATTGTGATTAAAGGATACTTAGGATAAACCCTGGAGTCAATTTTTCCATGATTTTCCATGATAACAATTGATTCTGACCCAGTTGTGTTTCTCTCATAACAGACATCCAGTCCATCTGATTAATGAAACTAATTTAAATCTCTCTTTGATTTACAGCCCTTAAACGACAAACTTAAGCCCCATTCAGAACAGATTTAGGTATCCAAGGGAGATGGGGTGATTTTAACATCATCTGTGCTGGTCAGTGATTTACAGCCACAATTACCTAGACCACAGTCTTGTAAAAGTTTTTTTTTTTAATTCTAATTTTTGGTTTATTATCATCAGTGTAAAATTAGGTTTATTTTATTAGTTCAAAAAAGTTTTTGCTAATCTGATAGATGGAAACATGCTAACACCAACTTAAAGGCTCATGTGAGGACCAATATGACGACAGGAAAAACAAAAAGCCATCAGGAGAGAAAGACCCGGTAGAAGCTCATCAAATGGATTGTTGTAATGTGAGCCTGTCTATATTTGCGTACATTTTTTCAATGTAATTGCCACCATTAAAAGTATGACAATCTAACTATTAGCACTTCCTGTTTACAGTGTATCAATGGATGTACAGACAAGGATCAGTAGATTACTTTGAAACTAAAGAAAATGATTTAATGGTGCCAAAAGCGGTTTAATTTCAGATTGCAACTCATTCGTTTCACCCTCCCCTTCTAAGTGCAAGGAGGAAACTACAGTGTAGTAGTTAATACTATATACTACTACTACTATCTACAGCCAGTCTTTCACTTATCCGTTCTGAGCGAGGTGACCCGGCATCTGTAGATACAAACAGCTCATGCTAAAGTAATGAAAACACAGTGATTCCTATTTTCAGGTGATTATACACAAATGAAAACATACCTATGAATATTATTTTCCATTTCTCCCAATAGATCCTCCGAAATGTTACACACTGGACCTTAAAAAATATCAATGTGTTATGAATACTAGAGACAGTACAATTTTTGTCCATGACAGATCCTCTAATCTCGCAATGGTTAAAATTCCATCTGGAACGATGGTTTACAGAGGAGCAGAACAAATATTTCATTCCCCACCTCTGACAAACAACTTTCAGCACTCCAGAGAAGCCATCGTTATGTTCTAGCATGGTTCGGCAAGCACTCAAAGCTGGAAGGATTTCTCCTTGGTTGATAAATCAATCGGCCCCTACAAACACTCTTAAATCTTCATCCCTGCTGAGGAGAGGACACTTTTTTATTGCTCATCTTACTTATAATTTGGGCTGACACAACAAGCCTTTTCTAGTGCAGTGGCTATTTTTCGGGGTACTGCGGCAGAAGCAGACAGATAGTTATAACAGGCCATGCCAATCTTCTGGAGTTCATCAGCAGCAGTCTCATTTTGTCTGTTTCTCTTTGCCCGTGATTTCTTTTTCGCTTGTCACCCGAAAACATCACAAAGAGTTGAAGTTTCACGCTGCTTTCTTGTTTCACAAAATGAACCCTGTCACACCTCATTACCCCTGCTCCTACCTGCTGAGGTTTGTCCTACTCAAAAGAAAGGGAGAGGGGGTCTGTGCATGGGGAGTTATTTGAAATTTGAATATGTGATAGACACACCTAGCTGGAAACATGCTGTCTGTCTGACTAAAATATAAGACTCCACATAGTCGGGGTCTCCTGTGAGCTGCTTGTTTTGACAGGCAAAGGTTATTATCTAAGAGGGAGCAGTTTGAGAGAGGAAAAGGAGGAGGATGAACCGGTGAACTTGTCCTCTACTGTTCTATCTACTTTTCTTTGTCATAAAGCAAATCACAGTGGGGTTTGTTTGTGTTGGAATCATTTGTATGTATTGAACTATGTACTGAATGGTTACAGTTCAATAGACTCCCTGGGACAGTGCATTCAATTTATTATTAGATGGATGTTTTTTTGGACAATCCAAAGTTTTCTTTGTGTGACGAAAGTGAAGAAATTCATAGGCTGTGGTCAAATTAAATCAACAACAAAATAATCCTGCCACCTAAAAGTATTGCAAGGATCAGAGACTTGAACATCAAATCATGATCTAGAGAAACATGCACTGTATTTATCTCTAGGAGGTTGGACTACTGCACAGGTCTGTCTCAGACAGCAGTCAGCTGACCCTGAATGGTGCTGCCAGATTTGTGACAAGGACCAAAAAAGTTCAGCATGTAGCATAACAAAGTACCAAAGTATTCAAAATTCTGTTTCTTGTCCATATATGACTGAACATTTTTGGTCAAAGTTAGTTTATCATATACCCTGACCCAGTACGAACCTTGCAGACATCTCAGGTCAGCTAGTTATGGATTACAGGCTAAGTCAAAATAAAATATGGCGACATTGAGCAAATTGCCAGAGCTAAGACTAAGACATTGAAATCCAAACTAAAGACCTTACCTGCCAACTATTGCTTTTAATTCATTTTCCTTTTAAATCATATTCATTTTTGTTTTATTGTCTGTGCTTTTGATTGATTGTTTTTATTGCTTTAATCATTTGGGTTTGTTCTGTATGTGTGCTTGTGTACTCTGTGAAGCACCTTGGGTTGCCTTTGGGTATGACGTGCTATATAAAGAAATTTGCTTTGCTTGCCAACAAGTAGTGGGATCAGGTCATTATTTTGCATGAAAGGCTTAACATTGATATTACTGTCTCTAATGATAAGGATGGAGTACACCAGAATAAGTTGTTAAGTATACTGTATATAGGCAGTTAATAAGTAGGGATGAGTACACCATTATCTGTATCTGTTCATCTAAGTAAATTATCTATATCTGTATCCATTCTCAGGATTTTAGGGACTTTCATAGCCTTTAATTGATAGCGACAGCTGAAGAGTGAGAGAAAAAGGGGGAGAGAGACATAGGATGACACACAGCAAAGGGCCATGAGTTGGAGTCGATTGCTTCTTCAGTTTCTTGTTCATTTTAATGTCTGGTACAACTAAAGGTACATTTGTTTGGACAAATATAATGATAACAACAAAAATAGCTCATAAGAGTTTAATTTAAGAGCTGATATCTAGCCATTTTCTATGGTTTTCTTGATAATAACCAAAATCACTTAAGTTCTTACATCAATAGCTATGGCATTGTAGTGCCAAAAACAGTGCTTTTAGGCATTCCATGTTTTCTTTTCTGTCTGTTTTAGTCACATGATACACACAGGAGTTAGTACTTGATTGCATAACCATTGTTTTTGATGACTGCAGCCATGCGTCTTGGCATGCTCTCCACCAGCTTCTGACATTGTTCTGCTGTCACAGCAGCCCATTCCTGTTGCAAAATTCAAACAAATTTGCTTTGTTTTCAGACTTGTGGTTCTCCATTTTGAGTTTGAGGATGTTCCACAGGTTTTCAATTGGATTTAGATCTGGTGATTGAGCAGGCCAAGGCATGGTTTGAATGTTCTGGTTCTCCATCCAGGCTTTAACTGACCTTGCGATGTGGCAAGGGGCATTGT